TGATATTTAATATGATATTTAAAACCTGTTCCATATAGCCTATAGGTATTTACCGCCCACTTTACTATCGCTTCTATTGAAATAACAATTAATATAATTGACTTTATTAGGTGTTTATATATATATATATATATATATATATATATATATATATATATATATATATATATATATAATTGTATATAAGTCAAAATATATTGGAACTAAATTAGATTTATATAAAGAATAGGTTATATAGATTTATGTACCTATATAAGTAATCTATACCAAGTAGTAGATATAAGCAAACAGAAAGCATTAAAAGGATAACGTAACTCTGAAACAAAAAAAAATGAGTGCGTGTAACCTTTACGCGCAATTGAAGTAAAACTTCTTCGGCGCTGTGACAGATACCGCTATTACATTATAAGAAATCAAAATATAAAAACGGTTACCATGGAAACAAACGTTCGCCTCGACCGATCACACTTTTCGTAACGTTTTTGTCACGCATTCACCAGCTTACTCTCCAAGTCAAGCGTGCGTAAGGAAGTTTTACTTCAAAAAATCGATACTAATATAATATAGGTTAAGAAGAGTTGTTTGATTTTTATTACAACGGTTAGTATCGGTTAAGAGATGATTTTTTTTCCTGCAATAAAAAGTATCCTATAAGTTAGACCCAGATAACCAGCTATCATCATACCTTTCATGAAAATGTGTGCAATGGTTTTTTCGTGATGCATTCCCAGGGAAACAGACAAAAATTCTAAAACTATAGATTTGGCCTCTGTGTCGATAATAATAATTTACTATTTCAATAAAAAAAATTTTTTTATATTTTGTAATGTACAGATTCGGCTCAGAATTTTATTATATTGTACAGATTATTTTTGCATTTCGTAACCAACTTATGAAGATTTTATAGGTGATTTACAATCACGCTACGAACCTTAGGAAGGAAGTATAAATAAATTACGCGGGCGGAGCCGCGGGAAACGCTAGTTTGTATATTATACAATACATTGTATATAGTATACATAAACTAGCTCATATAATAGTCATAACTCCAGACAGCAGTAAATACATATAAATTACTAATTGTATACTCATTTTTCTATTATTTTGTCATTATTGAAACTAAAACACCCAACAAAATTTTTGGGCGTCGGAAGTGGCACATCCTTAATCGGTGGAATTATAGATATTATTGTATAATTTGGAAATTTTGTAATTTGCTCTATGGGTGCATGACGGTGCTTACAATTTTCAATTCAATTCTTTTATTTCGTGGTTTCTAAGCTTACAATAATCTATTGATAACTGTAACGCCGTCGCGGGCGATAGATTTCTTAGAAATTTCATTAATTTCATAGAAATTTACCTGGAGGTCTTAAAATTGAAGCGGAGATGTCTCCCTAGTCCAACTTTATGCCACAAAAATAAGTTTAAGATTTTGCCTGAAATCTAAATATATACGACGGTAATGTCACGGTAACACTAGCTGCTACAAGAAGAAAGTAATTAATTTTAATATATCCGGTGTACAACGTAACCGGATATCCCGCTAGTTAGCTTATTTGTCAAAATAAAATATTGCAAATATTCCTTTCCTTCCATCCAGTTTTAATCATTTCTCCGAACGTTTCTACAAGTAAAGACATATTTTTGAATTATAATTTCATATTGTAGACTAAATATATTATGTAATAGCTAAAATGTTTATTTTATCTTCTTAGTGAACATAACATCTATACATAATAAAATTCTGAGTTGAATCTGTATATTAAATATTTTTTTGGAAAATCTTATTGAAATAATCATTATTATCAATACAGAAGCCGAATTTATAGTTTTTAGAATTTTCGTCCGTCTGTCTGTCTGTATGTCTGCCTGTGACCGCATGACGAGAATACCACTGTACAGATTTTGATAAAATTCGGTATGATGATAGCTGGTTATCCGGGTCATCATATAGGACACTTTTTACAGCCGTAAAATATCTCATCTCTGAGAAATCTATACTAAACGTTAAACCGTAACTAGGGACGAACCCGAGCGGAGCGAGGTTGAGTCGCTAGTATTAAATATTTTACTATAAGTATAACATATGACATGTTACATTAATGAATTAACTGACGAGGTATTATCCACTGTAAAACAAACAATTATGATTATAATATCATGCGGCGAAACTGACGTCAATAGATATGGATAGAGAACATTATAATTTATCACATTAAAATATACCCACCCACATGCAAAAAAGAACACTATATCATAGGTAATAAGCATTATTTTTTATTGCTTTTATCTCTCTTTCTTGACGTACTAGCCAATTACTTAACATTTTATACCTAAGTAAACTTATAACAAACTAGCATTGCCCGCGGCTCCGCCCGCGTTCAGATAACCAGAAACCAAATTCTTAGGTTTTACATATTAGTATAACCTTACATTACTTTTGGTATGAATATCAGAAATGAGATATTCATACCATTCATACCAAAATTTCATCAAAATCCTTCATTTACAATTTTATTATATTATGTATAGATTATGGAATATATTGAAATAAACATTATTATCGATATAGAGGCCGAATATATAGTTTTTAAAAATTTTGTTTGTCTGTCAGTTACCGCTTCACAGAAAACCATTGGAGGGATTTTGATGAAATTTGGTATTGTGATAGCTGGTTATCCGGGTCAACATATAGGATACTTTTTACCGTGGGAAAATATCTCATTTTTGAGAAAAAATACAAAAACTGCACTGTAAGAGTATACTAATATGTAAAACCTAAGAATTTGGTTTTTAGTCATCTGAACGCGGGCGAAGCCGCGGGCAATGCTAGTTCATAGTATAAATCATATATCTCGTCTGTCATAAATTTAATCACATTCATTTTTCAAGGTATAAGAACTCAATGGAGAAACAACCTACTCGTACCTGTTCGCAAGAGATTTGGCAAGGATTAGCGAGTCGCAAAATGAATTTTATATAGATTAACAAAAAAATAATATTATATACAAGATTATTACTCAATGCTTTAGAAAATAAATATAGTGATTAAAGTGGAATATATGGTAAAATAATAAATGTTTATTTAGGTGCACTATTCTAGCATCAATATCAATACCATTAAGTACACTTGTTTATAGATATTTCAAAACAATACCATGATGTGCTGAAAACTGATCAATCTTTATATGTTTCAGTGCTTCATATAAAACCAAATAATATGTCTTAAAAAAGTAATCTTGATAGTTATCATTCATTCGTTCTCATTCATTAACATGCGGTTATATGTGCGTGTTCGTTGAATGTAATTCGCAGTAACCACGCAATAAAACGACGGACTGCTATAGTTTTTTTAGTACCTACCTATCGTTATTTTTTTAACTGTTTCCTTTTAATACTTAGAACAGAAATGCCAATAAATCCCTTTAAACTAACAACAAAGCAAGCAAAGGCGAGGACAGAGCCTAGTGTAAAATATAAACATCTATGTACAATAAATTTCTTGTATGTTATGCAAAATAGTTCTTATGATACTAAACGAGTCTGTTACCTCTTATAATGAAATTCATTATAATTTTTCGCATAAAATATCTCTACGAAAACGCCGTATAAAAAGATTTTTCTTATTGTTCAACGAAGTGAAAAAAAATATATTAAAAATTCATAAGTATAAGTCAGACTTACAAATATATATTTTTTATTTTAAAGATATAATATTATATAATAAAATGTTGGCAAATTAATTATATTAAGTACGGACTTCGGACTACGGAGCCATCGATGCGCGAATCTTAATCGTATCTAACTGAATTTTTAATGTCGCCTGCTAAGTTGTCATATTACGAGTACTTTGAAACTCGCAGACGATTCTTAATTATATAATTCAGCAATAATCATTTATAGTGTAACTAAACTTCGCATATTAGCGACGAGACAAACTATGCAAAGACGTCCCATTACTCATTTCAAGCAATTACGCTGATAGCGAGGAAATTCTAATTGAATAAATTAGGTCTTCGATGTTGCCCACGAGTGCTTTAGAAAAACTATAGATAATAAAATATTCAGTTCATAGTGTTTGATTGTTGTAGTGTAATGTTGTATTTGTCTTACCCTACAGTGACAAAGGTCGCGAGTTCAATGCCGCGAAAACATAAAAAACAACCAATAGGTATAGGCCTCATAGGTATTGTGATGGTCATACGCAGGTAATAGGTATATAATACCTAAAACATCATGCAGGTTTCAAAAGCTCCAATTGCTGTGGTATAATTATTATCTGTTTCTCTACAACTTTTTGAGGTTTCAGTCAATCTGAGATAAATTAAATCTATTTTGTGTGTTTTTCAATTTATATTAATAAGCAGTTTTAAAGACAATGGTCTAAATTAAAAACATAGCTAGCTGATCATGGTGTAGTTAATCCTTACACCAAGATACATCTATAGCTGTCTATTCTATTTGCTTCTTAAAAGTTGGTGGTAATGTTTAGTTTTTGTGGGATATTTAGAATAAAAAAATAGTACAGCATTTGGTATTATATAAATCTGATTAATCTAAGTATTATTATTGCGAAAGTTTGTGCGTATAAGCAGCTGGACAGGTTTTAATGAAATTTAGTATACAGAATAGCGTAACATTTTAATTTTTTGAGTGGAACCCTAATTCTTTTACTGAAATAAAAGTAGCCTAAGTTACTCTTTACAAAATCAACTACCTGATAGTGAAAGTCCCGTCAAAATCGGCCCAGCTGTTTCGGAGATTAGCCGGTACAAACAAACAGACAGACAGACAAAAATTTTAAAAATTGTGTTTTTCTTATAAATACCGTATATAATACCATATGCATTTAGTAAAAAGCTGTTATTTTGACATTACAGACAGACACTTCAATTTTAAGACTATAACCTGGAGTAGCACAGGCTACTACTGCTAGACACCTAGGAACACACGTAAAATGCTAATTTCAATATAGTATAATATGCAATACTACTCACTTATCATGTTTGGATCTTGAGTGCGGTTCGAGCTGCAGCGGGGTGGCGGGGGCGGAGCGAGGGGCCCCGCACCCGCCACCCGCCGCGCCCGACGCGAAGTTCCCGGTTGACCTGCAACCAAACCACGCTTAATTATTATGCTAAATCACCATGGTCTTACAGCTTACTTAATTGCATCCTGTAAAATGTAAATGTTCATAAATTTAATATTTTATGATTCGTAATACAATATACATCGACTCCAAAATTTTAAAAGTAATAAATTAGAGATATTTTTTTTATTTTTTATTATAATTAAATGAAATTGATATGGATATACCCTTGAGATAAAGCATAATTTACCTGTACAGTGGAAACTCGATTATCCGGACTAATTGTTGTCGGTAGGCATACAGATAATCGAAAATCCGGATAATCGAATGTATGAAAGAAAAACGGTTTTCGTACATATTACAGATTACGTAATACCTAATGTTGGTGTTTAATTAAAATCAACTAAAGACAAATCAACATTTACTTTATCTTTAAACGATATCACTACTCTCTTACGCTTTGACATTTTTAAGCACAAATGTATTTTTTCTCAGAAATGAGACATTTTCCCGCGGTAAAAAGTATCCTATATGTTGACCCGGATAACCAGCTATCACAATACTAAATTTCATCAAAATCCCTCCAGTGGTTTTTCTGTGATGCGGTAATAGACAGACAGACAAAATTTCTAAAAGCTACAGATTCGGCCTCTGTATCGATAAATAAGTTACAATTTTATTAGGTATAGATTTGTCAGACAATAACAACGGTTAGCATGGCAACAAACAGTCCTCAGCTAACTTGATCATGTCGCTTTTTGGCTGTCGGTGTGCGCGCGCATCGTATTAATTTTATTCGCCTATTTTTTTCCAAACGTCCCAAAAGAAGTATAACTTCAAAATCTTGTCGGATTTTTTCGCGGGTTCATTTAGATTTTTGGTTCCTGATGTTTCGAAAGCTTTACAGTAATCATGATTACAGAAGAGACTAAGGTTTTAGACGTCTCAAAGGTTATAATTGTTACTGACAGTCCGTACCTACCACATAAAATGACCCTGTAAGGTATACGAACCCGAAAACTTTGATATAGTAAGCATTTATTAGTTATAGTATATATCTATTGATCTGCCAATGCGCGACGACAGTCGACATATTAAAACTATATACTCCGTAAATCGTCGTCTCAGCAACTAAATAAACGACGACCCCAGACTAGTATCCAAAAACATATGTATATAATATAAACATGGAAGTTTTACAAAAACCAACTCAGGGTCGAGTATAAGACATCTAAATGTAATATCATAAATTATCGTGCACAAAAAAGCAAAATTTAACTTTGGAAACTAAAAGTAAAAATCATCTTTAGGTGATCTATCTATACCTATAATAAAATTCTAACTGAGTCGAATCTGTACATTAAATATTTTTTCGAAAATCCTATTGATACAGAGATTTTATATTATTATTGATACAGAGGCTGTATCTATAGTTTTTAGAATTTTGTCTGTCTGTCTGTCTGTCCGTCTGTTACCGCATCACGGAAAAACCACTGGAGGGATTTTGATGAAATTTGGTATGGTGATAGCTGGTTGGTTATCCGGGTCAACATAATATAGGATACTTCTTACCGCGAGAAAATATCTCATTTCTGAGAAAAAAATACAAAAACTGTAATATAAGAGTATATTAATATGTAAAAGCTAAGAATTTGGTTTTTGGCCATCTGAACGCGGGCGGAGCCGCTGGCAATGCTAGTACTTATATAATATGCATATTTTGTCATTTAAAACAATAGAATAAATCCTTAATACAAAGTATTTTCATACTCTATTCAAATAAATAAACTGCCAATTAATATTCCAAAAAGCAGTAGGTACCTATTACATATATGTATCTATAAAATTCTAACGAATTGTGATGCAATCGATTTAAAATAGAGCTAAGTTCAACACGCACTTGTTTAAAACATAAACAATGCAGCCAAAAAAAACAATTCTGTAGCGTTTCCATTTTGCTGTGTAATATATCGTTCATTTTACTGTGAAATAATGGTTGAATATAAACTTTAATTTCACCAATTATTTACTTGAATTCTTCTGTGTTTAACAAAATCTATTTCTAATAATTATCACATAAAGTTTGAAACAGACTTTGCAAATAAACAATTTTTATTCAAAGCGGTACACAATGGGTTAATTACACGCATACAAAGATGGTTTTTTTTTTTAAATGGAAAATTGGTAGATGGAAGTTCTTGAAGTTAAAATATGAAAACCAAAGTTTAAACTTCTTCTATTATATTGCCGATGAGAAACATCATCTGGCTCACTGCCTATATCAAAATTATAATAATAAAAACTTGTAATTACGAAGTTTATTATATCATCAAATGTTAATAAAATAAGTACATACTTTTTTAAATTTGACAAAAAATCTCTCATATATTGAACAACAAATATAAATTCAGGGTATAGCGTTTCAACGAGTATTGTTTAGTCATAAAGATTGAGGTCTGAAATACCTGCATTTAATGTTAGGACATAAATTGAAGTCGACGATCACTTGAGCTAATTACACTTCATACGAGGTCAATTTAAAACAGTTAACTCATTGATGACACTTTAAACAAGGTCATAGGTAATAATTCTCATTTACATGTGGCTTCCCTATTTAAAAACTCCAATAGGATCCTATCAAAAGCGACAAAAGCCACATAGAAACCAATAAATATTTATTATTTATTTGTTATGGAGTATCGGATGATTGTATTGGAGTTTTTCAACAGGGTTGTCTCTTCCATTGTTCCATATAACACTAATGGCAAAGCTATAACTTGTAATACATCATTTTATAGTAGCATTTATTTCTAGAAGAGTATATTTTACTGTTTGTACAATGAACTGTTACGAAAACAGCATACTACACAATTGCGAAAATTATTGCGCATTTAATACAACGGATGGTTACAGACTACAGTAAGAATTTATATTTCGCATATTTTTTGTATTATCTATTTTTAACCTCATACGTACATAAAATTTATATTCGTTGTTCACACAAGGGATGAATAAAAGGAAAATATTCTAGTTTCAGCGCCATGAAATTCCCCTACTATCCTCCTACTGAAATGATAAAGATGTAGGTATATATATATATATATATATATATATATATATATATATATACATATATATATATATATATATATGTATATATATAGGATATTTTATTCGCAGCTGCACTGGTATTGGTTGCTAAACCTCTATACATAGTTAATTTCGTTATTTTAAGTAATTTATGTCAATACACAAACATATATACTATAGATATATTATAAGTGGAGTTTCAAATCTTAATCTTTCATATGATCCCTTTTACTACTAATAATGACCAATACATTTCCCAAAACCTTTTATAAAAATTATATCGCGGTCAATCACCATAAGGTCGATCATCCGCTTGAAAAATATTTTATCGAAACGACGTTTTCTACAAAAGTAGGGCCCCCGCTCTATTAAAACCGACCCTGGGATAGTGGGTATAATACAAAGCACATAAAATGCAGAACTACACACGTTTTGTTGTTTAATAATAATAGTACTTTGGCGACTGAGCTTCGCTCGGCATTTTTCAGTAAAGATATAAGAATTGTGTTCTTTCAGAAAAGACACCTATATAGATAAACTTAAAAATGCTTATCCCAATACAAAAGATAGTTATGAGAGCCGTTTCCGAGATGTATCTCGAAACTAAAAAAAAATATTTGGAAAAATAAAAATCCGGACTGCATAAAAAGCCAACTAAAAAGATGAAAAAAAATAGATTCCCACGAATTGAGAACCTCCTCCTTTTTTCAAGTCGGTTACAAACAAGTTGACGAAGTAACATAGTACATATTATGCAGTCGGAGACATACATCTATGTATATTCTATATTATTATTACTATTTAAGGAGGCAGAGTTTGTTTGTTTGAAAGCGCTAATCTCAGTAACTACTAATCCGATTTGAAAAAATCCTTTTACATTAGATAGCCTGTTTATTGAGGAAGGCTATAGGCTATATATCATCATGTTACTACTACCCAAGCCCACCTCAATTGCCTCGGTTGTGTAGTAGCTAGCATGTACGGCTGCACACTCGGAGGTCCTGGGTTCGAGTCCCGGGTCGGGGCAATTTTAGTTATTGAGTCTTTCTGTATAGTAAGCCTCAGTAACAGCCCGGAGTTGGGAAGTTGGCGGTGTTTCACCCCCGTGCCTCGGAGAGCACGTAAAGCCGTCGGTCCAGCGTCTTAACTCTCACCGGTCGTGTCGAGTGGTCGTCCCATCGGAATATGACAGTGACAGGAATCCTGCGCAGTTGGCTAGTCTCAATGAGATTGGCCGCCGTGGCCGGAATCGGTCAGGAGAACATCACTACCCAAGGGAGCAGAGCAATAATCATAAATGACAACAAATCGGACAGACTTCCATTTTTTTTATCTCTATTTTTATTTAGGGACTTTTATCCTTTTCGGACATGTCAGTCCCATCGTATCTTAACCTAAGAACAGCATCACATATATATTATGGAAAAATGGAAATAGATTCAATGTTGCAAAACCATATCCACCAAAATTTTAACAACATCAATAGACAGGCTTCCATACATTATTATAAAACTGATGGTTATAGTCAAATTTAACGCGGGTGAAACTGCGGGGCACAGCTAGTATGTACATATATATGTAAGATGTAAACATGTTTTTAAAAGCCACGTATGTGTATATTATAAATGTGAATTTTGTATCATATTAGTTTTTCTTTAAAAAAATATTATTAACCCGAGCAAAAACTTGTATCAACAAATCACAATGTTATAAGTAGTCCCATTAAGCAAATTGATATTCAATATCGTTTTCAAAACTAATTTCATCTGAGAGCTTTCTGATATTACCAAAATACCTTGCAATGAGAAACCTCGTCCTTGAAGTTTCAAAGCTAACAAATATCCACCTTATAAAAACTTCGCGGGAAAACAGATTGTTAGAGGATTTCTCAGAAAAGAATCATTAATATCCTATTCCTTAGAACAACAACTACATATGACGCATTAATCAATTTTATAGATAGTAAACACTTGCTGATGCGAATAGATTTCAGTTTGATTTCTCGACAAAGTGGGTCTAGAGTTCGATAACCGGACGTGACATGTATTGGCAATATGTTTGTTATTATTGAAACAAAATACTTTATTGACTGTGATTCGATTGAAATTTGAATATTAGATATGATTATCGTTGGTTTTCATAAAAACTTTAGATAACAAATCTGTAAGTAAAGTATGGTTGACATCAACTACACGTTTAATTGAAATCAAGATCAACAAGTCGAATCTATACATTAAATATTTTTTGGAAAATCTTATTGAAATAAACATTATTATCGATACAGAGGCCGAATCAATAGTTTTTAGAATTTTTGTCTCTCTGGCTGGTATAATTGGTATAAATGGCTCAGTTCTGTTATGTCTGTCTGTTACCACATCACAGAAAAACCACTAGAGGGATTTTGATGAAATTTGGTATGGTGATAGCTGGTTATCCGGGTCAACATATAGGATAATTTTTACCGCGGGAAAATATCTAATTTCTGAGAAAAAATACAAAAACTGCATTGTAAGAGTATACTAATATGTAAAACCTAAGAATTTGATTTTTTGGTTATCTGAACGCGGGCGGAGCCGCGGGCAATCCTAGTATATTATATAATGTAAACCCGTTTTAATAATAAAAAAAAGGTTGTACATGTTAAAATATTAGATTTTTTTTAGATTTAATCGAAGTAGTGATATAAAACATTCAAGTAGATACATGTAAATATCCGGAAAGTTAACAAGAACGCACGTTATTTTTAATTAGTTTTTAGTCTGGAGTTCGATATAAACTTTGTAGAAAGAAAACAGTCTACCCATATTCTTTGATTACATTGTTGACTTACTAAGACTCGATCTATTTTGCTGATCCAATAGCCTACATCTTACAAAATACAAAAAACCTATAATCCTGATTAAAAACAGAATCCGACGTAAACTAGGTAATGGTGAATTATTTTTGATAAAGTTAAGCAAAACTATACAAATGTAATACGTTACGTTTTATTGCGGATATTAGTGATTGTTTTACCATTACTGTACGTTTATTATAACTTATAGGTATACGTCTATAATCTTCAGAAAATAAATCTATACAGATAAATATAATTTAGGTGTCTGTTGGTAATATCAAAACAATAGCGTTTTATTAAATGCATATAAAGTTTTATACGGCACTTATAAGAAAAACACTTTTTTTAATTTTTTGTCGGTCCCTGTCTGTTTGTTTCGGATAATCTCTGAAACGGCTGGACTGATTTTGACGGGACTTTCACTTGAAGATAGCTGATGTTATAGAGAGTAGCATAGCTTACTTTTATTTTAGAAAATAATTAGGGTTCCGCTCAATTAAAAAAAAACTAAAACGTACCTAGTAGTAAAACGTACGTAGTATAAAGTGAAAGCACAATCAATAACCAAATTAGTCATCGAAGTGATTTCAATAAACGAAATTAAAAACTAAAGTTGAATCATTAGATATGGAAAAATAATACCCAGATGGTAATCGAACTGATAAGCATGTGTATTAACGTACCAACCGATGAGTCACTTATGTTACAGGTGTGCATAATATGCATTAAAAAACGGGTCCAATTCTCAGCTATAAGCCAAAAAAGACAATTTTTCACTCAGATAGTTATACTTTAAAAAAAAATAGCTTCTTCGTAATGTATAGACATTTTTGCTTATATACTTACCTACTAAAGTTTCATATTTTAACATCCACACTAATTTTATACCGCATTCGTACATATTGTGTATGAATATATTGTAATTGGTAGGTAATAAATTGTCTGGGCCGTCTAGTGGCTAGCATGTACGGCTGCAGATTCAGAGCTCCTGGGTTCGAGTCTTGGATCGGGCCAACTTTAATTACTGAGTTTTCCTGTTCAAATATTCTCAGTAATAACCCGGAGTTGGGAAGTTGGCGGTGTTTCACCACGTGCCTAAGAGAGCACGTAAAGCCGTCGATCCTGCGCTTTAACTCTCACCGATCTTGTCGAAGTATCGTCCCATCGGAATCTGAGAGTATAAAGTATAGTAGTGCAATTGTGTCTGAGCGTACACATGTGCACTATAATATCTCCTGCGCAGTTGGCTAGTCTCAGTGTGGTTGGCCGCTGAGGCCGAATCGGTCAGAAGGACTGTATTACCTGTCTGTCGTATTTAATATTAATATATCGTTAAAATCATATAATGAAATAAAGATAAATCAAGGGCCAATATAGTGTAGTGCAATATAACGAGTAGGTATAGATAAAGTAATCTTTACCTGTAGTGATAATCACTACGTTCTTTGATTTTCACCGATATGTACTTCGGGTAGCGAGTTCCGGATACTAAAACCTTGTTAATAACAATATTACATAAAAATATATTGGTAACACTAATTTCATAAATTATCTCGAGACTTGATGATATATACAAAATATATATATACATACATACATACAGACAGACAGATTATATATATAAAAGCACTAGGTGTCCTATCATTATATCACAGGGCCGCGTTCCTGGGTGATACTTCGCATCAACTACATATATCCCGAAAATCCCTTTATAACAGATTTAAAAGAAATCAATCTCTCCGGCCAATAAACTATACGGATGCCAAAAACTACGATCTGCGCATCTGTGTGAAAGACAGACAAGTCTAACAAAATCACAAATAAACAAAAGTATTTACCATTTCTAACATTACTACTAACAACGTACTTACTATCTATATTTAATATCAAGAATATGCCAATACAATATGTATGTATATTGCATCGAACGATAAACCAATAACTCTTCCACTTTAGCTGTCTCTACTCCAGCCAACTCAACTTTAATGTGTATCGAAATTGTTTTACAACATGTGCAATGTTTAGTAAAATTCTCAAATTAACGATATTTGAGAATGTTTATAAAATTGGAGGATACTTAGCGCTACTAGTTTAGTTTCAGTTAAGGAAGTTATCTGGAGCAGTCCACAATGAAGTTTATTGGAATCGTATTCGTTATAATTTTAAACTTTCTTGAAGTAGAAAATGTTGGTACCTACATGTATGTATGTTTATATACGCGGTATTATACCGAACTTGTTTATATTCTATTTCTGTCATTAGAGAATGCTACCGATTTACTACGAAACTGAAGCACCTGTCACAGATCAAGATGCTGTGACAATAGCCGATGTTACAGGCGCAGATAGTTCCAATGAAAAAGCAATGCCAAGATCATTTGATGACGGCGACAGCGAAGAGTATATAAATAAAGGGAATGGAAATCGTGATGATGGTTCTAGAAAGGTATTATTTTGCTACTCTTCTAAGTTTGTTAGTGTGTTGTTAGGATATCTAAAACCTGCCTTAATAAATGGGCTATAAAAAGTCAAAATATTTTTCGAATCCCACTGGCAGATTCAGAAATTAACGCGTTCAAACCTGTTGGTTCAAACCAACGAACAAATATTTTAGCTTGATGAATTTAGTATCTAGAGAGATTTTATTTTCGTCTTACCTATTAGATACGTTCCACAATTGTATGACCAGGCAAATAAAGATTTTTTTTTAATAAAATTATAATGTGTTAAAGAACAAAACAACAACTGTCTGTGCCTTTCAATCTAAGAAAATGAAAATTGTAAATTTTTACAATTAAAATTTTTTATTAACATTTTAATCAATTTAAATGATATTTGCTGCATTTTATTTATTATTTTATAAACGCAAAGGTACATTTGACTGCTAGATTCATACAGCTAAAACGGGGTCACTGATTTTGATCAAATTTGATGTAGAGCTGTCTTAAAATCCTAAGAAATTATATAAAAAATACTGTGGAAAGAGTATGAAATTTTGAGATTTGGCTCGATAACCACTATCGCGAAACCGAGTCAGCTTACTTGTGTATAATAAAGTAATTAACTGGATCGAAAATGACTAATATGTATTAATGAATTATGTTTCAGCCATGCGCTATTGTCGTGCTATCAAGCATTCAAAATCCAACGATGCAATCCTTATTGAGAAAGTACCGATACGACAAAAATGGTACCATATAAATTAAATCTATCATATGAAACAAGTCTTTAATGTATGGCACTTAATCTATACATATAATATAATTGTGACTAAGCCGAAAATGTACATTAGATATTTTTTGAAAAATCTTATTGAAATAAACATTATTATCGATACAGAGGCCGAATGTATGCTTTTTGTCTGTCTGTATGTCTGTTACCGCATCACAGAAAAACCTCTGGACGGATTTTGATGAAATTTGGTATGGTGATAGCTGGTTATCCGGGTCAACATATAGGATTTTTTACCGCGGGAAAATGTCTCATTTCTAAGAAAAAAATACAAAAACTGCAATGTAAGAGCATACTAATATGTAAAACCTAAGAATTTGGTTTTTGGTCATCTGAACGCGGGCGGAGCCGTGGGCAATGCTAGTATATTATAATTTGTTTCAGGGGTTCTCATACCAAGCAGTGTCAAATACTTTATAAAGTTTCCACAAGGTCTGAAATCATCATCCATTCTGGTTCCATTGAATGATAAAGCATTTTCACCTTTGGGCGGCTTCGTAAGGTAATATTATTATAATTCATTTAGCAAACTTGTAAAGATACTTTTTCACAATAAGTTATGTGTTTAGCATATAGTGTGGTTTTATTATTAATATGGATATAATTCTCATCGATGTCAATATTTTTACAGGTATTATAAAGAAGTACCTCCCATACCACATGTTTGGTAAAAAATATATAATTTACATAAACGTTAATAATAATTACTATATTAAATTTAAAATTCCTTTATATCTACTAAAAGGCTATAATCTCCAAGTCGATGTAGAAGATGAAATCTAACGACCTATATATAACGAATATAATAAGATATTCTTTATAAAATCAAATTTTAAAATCTGAATTTATCTTGTATAATTCTATAGTACTATATTAAACATTATTTTTAACAATATACTCTTATTGCTTTAATTTTTTGCACGTGACGTAAAATGATAACAAGCCAAAGCATTTGGCAGACGAAAATTATTTTGTCAAGAACGGTGAAAAACACCAAGGAGGAAGCCAAACAGTTACAGCACCAGATTAAAATATGTTCTCAAACTGTGACATGTGTGACCCCAGTGCAAAGTCGCGCCGGTCGCTTATAAGGGTGGTTACACAAGCGTTAAAGTTTAAATGAGACATCAGTAACATTTCCTTTCTATATTTAATGTACATTTAATACTTTCTTAGATTCTTTAGATTTCTTAGATCTTTTCGAATTATTTCGGAAACTTCGGGAACCAAAAATCAAAATAAATCCGCGAAATAATCCGAAAAGATAGTTTTATTTATAATGTAGATTTGTAAAGCAACAAATACTATACCCACTAATTATGAATTTTCAGGTAGTTTATAATCCAAACTTTTTTTATATAGTGTTATTCTATACTAATCGAGTTTCCTGTTTGTTTTGTAAATTGTTCATAAGTCTTTCCAAATCGAATATTACCGATTGGTTCTTTAAATCGTTGCTAAAATAAATTAATTAGCATATAATTAGCAGAAAAATTAAATTAATTATAGCTTAAATTAATTATAGCTAACAAAAATAAAATTTAATTTATTTTAAACAGATTTCCTTTAGGTTTTTAATTTTTAAAATAAATCATTTGAAAAAAGACAAGCGGGTTAAAGTTTTGTATGAAACTTTTTATTATTTCTACTGTAGTCTTTGAAATTTAATACATCAGCTGGTTAAAAAGCATCAATTGGATCGTTATAAATTCTATATGTTAGATATCTCCTTGACCTAAGTACCTAATAATAGAGTGAGATACTACAGCTGTTTGTTCATGGTCCTATTGAATATATAGCACATGTCGATTCTCATCGCTGTGCGTCAACAATATGCATATTAAATTATAAGTTTTGTGGGAAGTACAAGCTGTATATTGCATAATGCATATAGATCGTTCAAACGATTAATAATATATTATTAAATACTAGCGACTCATCCTCGCTTCGCTCGGGTTCGTCCTTAAATGCGTTTTAATTTTTTTGAGCGGAACCCTAAATCTTTTGCTAAAATAAAAATAGCCTATGTTACTCCCTATAACATCAGCTATCTTCCAAAGAAAGTCCCGTCAAAATCAGTCCAGCCGTTTCAGAGATTATCCGGAACCAACAGACAAACAGACAAAAAAGAAGTGTTTTTCTTATACCTAAGTACCGTATATAATTTCATATACATTTAGTAAAACGCTGTTATTTTGACATTACAAGCAGACACTTCAATTTTATTTATCTGTATAGATGTATAGACTTTATAGATTATAAAATCGTAGAGCAAAAGAACTTTGAAGCGAATACGAGCACAATATTTCATTTTCATATGCATCATATATTACTTTGCTTTTTTTTCTTTTGTATAGTGATAAGTTTACCTTGGATGCACATATCTCTCAGTACGTTCCATGACAATAAAGGAGATAAATGTTCTACCTTCTCTTAGTTCAAGGAAAATAACGAACGATTACGAAATCCTTTAGTAATCGTTTGTTATTTTAATCGAAGATAATATGCTCGATATGCTGCATTATTGCTGTCACATTCTTATGTGAATATAATATAACTAAAATATTTACTTTGTTAAATACATGTCTAGTTTTAAAAAAAAAACGGAAACGGGCTTAAAGACAGGGTAAAATTATGGCACAAATGACATTTTAATAAATGCAACGTGAATAGCGATTTTGAGTACAGAAACTTTAATATATACTCGTATAATTATAAAATTTATCTATACTAATATTATAAAGAGGTAAAGTTTGTAAGATTGCGAGTTTGTGATGTTGTAGGTCTATGGGGTAATCTCTGGATCTACTGAATCTATTTAGATGAAATTGGGTAAGAAGATAGTTTTTACAACCCTGGGAAGGACATAGGATAGTTTTTATCCCAGAAATCAAACCTTAAGGGGATGAAAATGGGAATGAAAGTTTGTACAGGGAAGCAAGCTAGGGACGAACCCGAGCGAAGCGAGGGTGAGTCGCTAGTAAATAATATAATAATGTTAGTAAAAATAAGCAAATGCATTGGTCGTGGTTGCAATCACGCTCGACAAATTAAGGCCAACTTATTTCAAAACTTTGAGAGATGACTTAAGTTATCGATAATGAAACAAAACCATCAAGGTCTGTTTTCGACGCGTACCTACATATCAGATACATCACCAAAACGTTGGCGTCGCGCCAACTTCCATACGCGCTCCGTATCCTCTATAACGGGAAGCAATATACAAGCGGGCAATTTAAGAAGGACATGCATATCAAAGGCCCCGATAGAATAAACTGATTTTTAATTCAATAGGGTTTTCAGTCACGCCTTAAAAGTAAACGGCCCCGTGGGCGGCGTACTATTCGAGGAAAATAGTCACGAATGAAATATTCGATGAGACAAAAGACGTTAACAATAAAATAATAACTCTTATAAAATCAGCGCAAATAACTTTGACGTGGCAATTCAAGAATCGATTATTCATTTTACCGCATTTGTCTGGTTCCATTACCAATTAGATGTTTAAGGTAAAACGAACATAATTACATATTTTTACTACGTACGTATTTAAACATAAGTAAGCAAACCAAAGCATGTTTGTACAGAATACAAGTATCTATATGATAACGGGCGTCAAATTATATAATGAGTGCTTAAATCGCAGATCAGGTAGCAGATGTAATAAGTAATAACACAGGTGGCCCATGATTGTTATACTAAATTAACACCTCCAGGTAAATTTCTAAGAAATTAATTAAATTTCTAAGAAATCTATTGTTAACTGTAACGCCGGCGTGTCCGCGGTCGTTGAGGAATTAAAATATTTGATTAACAAGACTAGATTATGTACATATACCTTCAAAGATTTTGTACTCATAGTACTCCCAATGGTAGAATTTACATATTTCATTAAAATTCGCAAACTTTACATAATTATAAATAAGTATCAATATAAATACATTTAAAACATAATATATATTATATTCAAATGTTGCTCAATTTGCAAATAACCTTCATATATGAGTTTATCTTTTCAGATATTAACTTAATTGTTATATAACAATCATTACCATTTCCCGGAATTCAGTTTTAATTAAAACTATCTGTAGCAATTCTACTGTTTAACAATTAATATATTATTTATTTATTTATTTTATTTTTTGCTTTTAATAACTAACTCTTAAAATAATACTATAAAAATCATATATTAAAATAATCAATAATTAAGATTTTCATTTTTTCACAATAATTCAATCTACATAATAATATATTATATAATAATCAACTGCCGTTTGTTAGTCTCGCTTAAACTCAAAAACGGCTGGACCGATTTCAATAATTCTTTTTTGTTTTTTTTCTTGGGGTTTGTCAGGGATCGATTGAATATAAAAATTTTTGGGCAAATCCAAAAAAACAGCTGAAATATCAAAAAGTTCAGAACAGTTCATTTTGTACCTGTGTATATTATACATGATCTATCTATTCCGTACTAACTGTTAAAACCTACCTAGGGATGAACTCGAGCGAGGAAAGGGTGAGTCGCTAGAACTATATAAATACACCATAAATAATTAAGTATTATTATAACTTCAACGATAGTATTGCTTCAATTCTAGTGTTATTATTATTATTACTAATCGGTGTTTCCGGTCATTCTAACACTAGACTGACTTCGTAGATTTTAAGTTCAAACATCCACTAATGGTGGGTCCACATGGTGAAGACATTTGTACAAACTGATGTGAGATATAAGTGAAATATTTGAAGCAGATTTTTCTACAGAATGTCAGACATTTTATTATTACAGACTTAATTTTTTTTTATTCGTAGTTTTCCGATCGTTTTCGCTTAGTATCGTAACGAACCTTCCTAAGGCCAACTTGTTACAAAAATTCGACAAAATGATATATATATATATATATATATATATATATATATATATATATATATATATATATATATATAGGCATAATATATATGATGACTTCCGACTTTTCTGGCACACTGAATTTGCACTGCTTTTTTGCACAAACGAAAAAAAAAGTTGTGAAAGTCCATATCGTGTGAACCCACCTCAATGTTGATGATGCGAATATTTTCATTTGCCAAATTTCAAAGGAAATAATGAAGCAAATACCTCAGAGTATTATTTCAAATCACAGACAGAGTACTAGTTTTATTGTGTTCATATTTATAGTAAAAAAAACGCACAAGTAACTATGTTGTTCAATATTCAGAGCATGACATCGTGATGATACGCATTCTTGTTACCGAACATATAAGAATAACCGTCTTTAACATAGGTACGTTATGTAACTACCTTTTAACCTTTAATAAAGTTGTTATCGGTTTATATTTTGAAAAATGAATATAATTATTAGCTTGTAATAGACGATATTTTAACATATAGAATGCTTGGTAAACAAGCATTTACCAAGAAAATAATCTATACATATAATAAAATTGTAACTAAGCCGAATCTGTACATTAGATATTTTTTGGAAAATCTTATTGAAATAGACATTATTATCGATACAGAGGCCGAAAGAAGAGGCCGTTTTAAAAATTTTGTCTGTCTGTTACCGCATCATAGAATTGATTAAATTTGATATGGTGATAGCTAGTTATCCGGTTCAACATATAGGATATTTTTTACAGCGAAAAATGTCTCAATTCTGAGAAAAAATACAAAAACTGCAATGTAAGAGTAAACTAATATGTAAAACCTAAGAATTTGGGTTTTGGTCATCTGAACACGGGCAGAGCCGCGGGCAATGCTAGTTATTAAATAAAATCAGTGATTCCAGTAGGTATTACAATGAATTAAAACATTGTAATAATTGTTATTTCAAATTACGCATACCTATCAAGGAAAAGATAGCACAAGGTCGGAAAAACCTGTTCTCGGTTAAGTTATAAAATTATAAAAGTACACAATAGCCCCGCAAAATTACTTATATATTATATTTAATAAGCATTACAAAAACTTTCATGAATTTGTGGATTGTGTCTAGCAAATAAACAGTAAAATGGGCACATTTATTTGACTTCCATGATAGTATTATTTAAGTTTAAACTTTAAATCCCATTTTTTATTTTATAATTATAATTTATACTACAAAATAAAGAAAATATTTCGATAATTATTGCAAAATTAGTTATAAAGTTTTATTATTATACGATACTAGCGACTCACCCTCGCTTCGCTCAGGTTCGTCCCTATGTGCGTAGTTAGTATGCAATACAAATCTTTGAATTTCTCGGCTTTTCTGTACTATAAAATGCATGTATTATACATATTTAAAACCTTCCTCTTGAATCATTCTATCTATTGCTGAAAACTGCATTAAAATCCGTTGAGTAGTTTAAAAGATCTAAGCGAACAGACAGCGGAAGCGACTTCATTTTATATTATTTAAAGATATTGCTAAAATTATCATTTTAGTATACATAAAAGGTTGAAAATGTCCATAGTAAGTATAGAGTGTTACTAATTTACACGCTTTACTGTAACCTATTATAAAATTAAAACACGATAATAACCGTTAATATGATAAAATCTATAAGCATCGAATATTAAAACAATTTACAAGACCCAAATCAAGATACTGTGAGCTAATTATATTACGCTAATTGTAAAATTGTGATAGCTCCTTTGCAATTATAGGATACTTTTCTTCCATCTTATCTAATCAGTATTATTAGCCAGGTCTTACACGAAATTTCGAATATTTGCCACTGGTAATAATGTGATGTCATCATTCAAAATAATCTCAACTTCTCTCAATTCTTTTAATATTTATTCTCTTAATATTTATTATCTTTTAAATATTTACATAACGGGGTCAAAGTTGTACATAAATATTTTTTTGTTATATCTTATGTTTGGGATATAATAGAATAGAAATCTAGAAATTTTGAGAATGTTTGAACCATCTCTGTCTTTCTTTAAGCAATTGCACTGATTAAAATATTTTAAAGTGTATTGGGACGTTTTTATTAGGTATACATATGATAGATTAAATTCAATATGTAGTAAGTTATCAGTTTAATCACTTAATCCAGTATTATTAGTCAGGTCACGTTGAGCTCTCTTTTATAACGCGGAGGTCATTTTAAGTGGTAACTGGTAGATGAAAGAAATTATACGAGGTCAGAGTAGCGTGCAGTAAAATGCAGTAGCATGTGTTAAATGCGTTTAAAGAGCACTATATAATCCTACTAAGGTCACAGGTTCAATCCTCAAACACAGGTATTAATTGTTTAAACACTGTTTCAAAATGCATAAAATTGCAATGTAGAAGTTTATAGAACATACGGAGAATGAACTAGTCCCCAGACTTTCTTTCTGTCTCCCCGAAAGAGAAAACGTGCGAAAGTAATACACGTAATAATTTGCGTGTAATTACAATACAACTATTATAGCTATTCACAAGTATCAAAATGAATATGAAATACATATATAAAGCTTTTTCACTTTGAACATAAAAATTACAATAATGATGCAAAGTTTTATTTTATTTTTAAAAGTAATACTTTTCAAAATCTCTTCACATTTTATGCCACAAGGTTTTAAAGCCACTCAACAGATGGGTGGCGCGGCGATTCTAAATATTTCGTTACCATGTACTATATTTTCCTAATTTCTTCGCTTCGCTCAATCGGAACCAATAGTAGCTTTTTGCTATCAAATAATATGCGATGAAAGCTTACTCATATACTCATATATATATATATATATATATATATATATATATATATATATATATATATATATATATATATATACCATCACATATCCGATTTTTCGTGGAAGACGAGTTTTTGTTTAATATTAACATTATACTGATATTCCAGATAGATTTATGAAACATTCTATGCACCAATCTTAAAATACACAAAATTATCTTGGCCTTAACAGTGTTACAGTTATTTCAGTAGCGTGGTTCAACGTAAACTAGGTCAGTAGCATGTGGTAGGAATCTATCATAAAGCTTATGACACAAGAAACTGCAAAAACATCAAGTGTAACATGATTCTTTAATACAATGTGTTCTATAAATGCATACATGCTTTATATGAAACCAAAATATGATATCAAATAACATGTAGAAATTTACCTAAAAATGTCTATGAGTGAGTGTGTTCGTAACATCTTCATACTATAATGGCATCATATTTATGTGTCTGGAATGCAAATAGCTTTTTATGCAGTTTTTTTTTATTGACATTTACCCCTAGAACAGAACACCAGCAAGAATCTATACATATAATAAAATTCTAAGCTGAATCTGTACATTAGATATTTTTTGGAAAATCTTATTGAAATAGTCATTATTATCGATACAGAGGCCGAATCCATAGTTAGAATTTGTGTCTGTCTGTCTGTCTGTTACCGCATCACGAGGAAAGTACTGGACAGATTTTGATGAAATTTGGTATGGCGATAGCTGGTTATCCGGGTCAACATATAGGATACTTTTTACTGCAGGAAAATATTTAATCTTTGAAAAATCTATACAAAATGTTAAAAGGTAAGTAGGGACGAACCCAAGCAAAGAGAGGATGAGTGGCTAGTTATTTGATAATAATGTACCTAAACCTTTTAGTTTGGCATTCAAAGTGTTTTTAATAAAAGACAGTAATTAATACATAATATAAATTATAAACTAATATTATTGTCAGTGTTCTAAATCTCCATAGGATTGTATATAACTGGTGCATAATATTTTACTGCCTAACATCTCCTCTCCTAATTACAAGTTTTAATGATCTAGTAAATAGTAAAAGGAAGTAGCGAAAGTAGTAAAATGGTAGTGTCCAAAATTTTTACTTCAATTTTTTGTAATAAACAACTACATAAATGGAGACCAGATTATACGCATCTTAAGAGTTAACTTAGCATAAAATTAACTTAAAATATAAGTGAAAACCGCCAGGAACTGAACAGAACTCTACAACATGGAATATTTAAAAATAAGAAATTTTATTTGTTCTGTTTTTAAAATTAGAGTAAAGCAGTAAAAATACTGATTTATTAATCTTTTTGAAAAATATAATACATTCTTTAATCTCTAGTTATCAACATACAATTTCTCTTAAAATGAACAAGCTTTTTCTGTAATGACTAATGAAATTATTATTTATTGGTGGCATCAGTAAATTTTAATTTAATGTTTTATTAAAATAGTGTAACTATTGTATAGTGCACTCCTTATGTATTTTTAATAAAATTTAAATAGTAGATATAGATAGTAATATTAAAATATTCTTTTGGTATAGTTTGTAGGGAGGTAATTGTGGTTTACTTGTCTGTGTAGTGTATCATATGAAATATATAATAATAATATAAAAATTAACGAAAAATAATTGTTGTAAGAATTTCAACTCAATGGGTATTTTGAGTCTATCTGTATATATCTGTATATATTTTAAACAAATATATACACATTTGTCATTGACCATACTACTGATAATCTATCATATAATGTCAAGATTGCTAATTCCTCACACCTGTTTTATCTTATCCCCTATATTTGGCAATATAAGATGAATATCATTATCTTAGATTTAGAATATAAAATGTGTTCAGCATAATAAACCCTTTTCAAAAAATTATGTACAAATGAACAACAATAAAAATAAATAATTTTGTAAGTATTTTAAATTTAAAAATATATATTTAAGGAATGTTTAAAAAATTTACAAACATTATTTTCATTCATACAGATTATAATTGAATAGAATTAAGAGATTCAAAAAAGTATAGTGGCATTATGAATACTTCCTTTACATTCTACTACTACATATTTAGTAGAGAAATGATAAAATGGGTGTCCAGCTCTTCTCGGTAAGACGCAACATGTCATGAGATGAAAATGTTAATGAATTTAGACCAATTTAGAGCAATAAAAATTACTTAAAACAGATAATAATTCAATAAATATACAAGTATGTTATTTAACCTCAATAAATGTTTATCAGTAATTTTAGGAAATTACCTTTGTTTTGAATTTAATAGAATTTATTTATGATTTACCTAACATACTTTAAATGTACCCTATCTACTATGCTGAGAAGTTTATTTCATGCATTTCAATATTATTGAGTATAAGAAAAATATTTACCAAGTCTTTCTTATGGTCAAAAGACCTTTAGGACCCTTCCTTCCGCTTCCATCGGTAATTACTGAAAACCTGTCGCTGAAGCTTCTTTTTACTTCTGGCAAATCCTGGAGGAATTTGTCTTTCGATGAAGATTCTAACAAATTTATTTCTCTTCTTATCTCGACGTCGCTGTAGGCACCAAGTGTTAACTCAGTATTCGGGTCTTTCACAATCGGCACTCGTTTTCGCTTTTGCTTCCTCCTCAACGTACTCGAATTAACATCACATTCAGCAACCTCACGACTTTTATTATATCCGTTATCACGATCCCCGAAACCTTGTACAAAGCAGAGCATAATGTCGTCAGGATAATATGATTCCTTCATTTAGAAGATCATGCCCACTTTTTAACACAAACTTTTACACCACTCGTTTAAGACTTGCTGTTAAATTAAAACATTTCTTTGAAGAAATTCAATTAGCACTTAAGTATAAATGAGTAATCACAATTAGTGTTATTAATGTTTGTACATCACTTTTCGCAATTGACACGACGTGAACGTTTTTTGTGTATTCTAAATATTAAGTGTTTAGTTATAAACTTTCAGTAATAACATTTAATTAATTAAAACAAGGGTAAACTAAAAATTTATGTGGACCGCCAGAATTCATTGACATATATGTATAACTAATGACATATTTTTAACGTTCGGTATTCACAAAGAGTTTCGTTCGGAAATGCCGTTTAACTCCATACAGCTGTTAACGAATACTGAAGTGGTCTCGGTCGGTGACGGTCGACAGAGCAGCTACTCGCTACCATGCCCCCGCCCTTTTCTTATTGGGCTAAGCGTAGACTGGCGGACGCAAACTAAACGCGGTGAAAGGAAATGTTATTCGCACGTGTTCAAATTATTAATAAAGCCACACATGACGTATGAACAACAAATAATATTCTCATATTTGACATTCATTCAAGTTTTAAAACAACGACAATAGAAATTTCTATCGCGTGACTAACTAGATCAATAACTACGGGTAAACTTTTAAAAAAGTGGGATCTCCAAGGATACCGGGAACCAAACCAAAAGCAAGGGCTCTCCCATTGGTATTCCTGTAGTTATAAATGATTGCTTACGAGTATATTGATTTTTAAAACCTCAACCTATTATTGCTTAAACTTTTCCAATCTTTTACCTGCATATTAACGACTATAGCATATAATTCTATTCATTCTAATAATATTAATACAAAAGTATTTCAAAATATTATTGCACTAGCAACTCGCCCTCGCTTCTCTCGGGTTCGTCCCTAAGTTGATTACCTATACAAAATTTCATCTTCATTTTCACCCCCTTTAGGGATGATTTCCGGAATAAAAAATATCCTAGGTCCTTTCCAGAGTCTCAAACTATGTTCTTACCAAATTTTATCTAAATAGGTCCAGTAGTTTTTGGTTTATTCGTTACAAACATACAAAAATAGAAATCTTTCCTCTTTATAATAGTAGTATAGATAGTGAAGATCAGTAAAATACTTATGTTTATAGTACGTTTTATATAAATATCGATAAGTTAACGCCTCTTAAAAAAAACAATGTTTATGTAAGTACATAAGTGCCTATCATAATACGATAGCTGATATTACTGCCATAATATGTTATTTTAAATGTAAAATTTAAATTTAAAACGGGTTCTAGATTTTTATCTGCCTTATATGAAAACAGATTTCAAAATAATTTTTATTTTATTAATACATAATTATAAGATATATATTTCTGTTTTCATTCAAAACAAAAAAAAACAACATTCATTCAACATAAAAAAAAAATTAAGGTACCTATTCATTTATTTAAAGCCAGCGCAAGACCCATCAGCTAAGGAATAGGTAAAATAAATCCTTAGTCCGGTGCTAATATTATAATTGCGAAAATTTATTTTATTTGAGTGTGTAAAGTAAACAGTAAACAGCTTTTATGATCTATTTCTTATTGACGCACCTCTCACACCACGAATACAACCGCGGGCAAAAACTATTAAAAAACTTCAAATATACCAACCTAATAATTAATAAGTGAGTATTTAACTCAGACTAAGGAATAAATAATATAGACTGAGTTTCATAGAACAAAACATGAAGCAATAAAGTTTTAAAATAAATATGCAATGTTTTAAAATTATAATATGACTAGTGAGTAGTGACTCACCCTCTTTTCGTCCCTAGCTTGCTTCCCAATACAAACTTTCATCCCCATTTTCACCCCTTTAAGGAACGATATCCGGGATAAAAAGTATCCTATGTCCTTCCCAGGGTCTCAAACTGTCTTCTTACCAAATTTCATCTAAATCGGTTCAGTAGATATATAAGTAAATAAATGTTGATAAGTAAAACTAGCTAACAGATTTTAATAAAATAAAGTAAAAAAATGAGTAAACCTTATGCTATATCTTTTTCAAAAGGATAGTAATATGTATTTTAAATTTTTACTATTCATTTATGGGTATACTCTTCTTAAAAATTGAAAATTATCAACTAATACAAATATAAAATTTGAACAATGTACATACTCGTAGTACATACGGCAAAATCGAGAAGAGGTAATTCACGCTACTTTTTTTGATTTTTCTTTTTGAAGTAGGTATTTTCTGAGGTATTTCTATTTAATGACAAGGTGATAAAAATTCTTATTTAAAATAAATTTATGCATAGATAATAATGTATAATTAGGTACCACATTGTTTCTCCTTCGGGTTAAGAAAAAAAGTAGCAATTATTGTATATTAATCCTCCACAGAAGTTAAAAATTTCATCTTATCTCAATATTATGTACATAAGTGGTTAGATATTTATATAATCTACTAATCTCTCTGTTTATCTACTGCGCTGTTAGCAACTTCTTAAGATTTAAAAGATAAATAATAAACAATTGTTCTTAATAACAAACTTATTTATAATATTCTTCCGTGTTAAACATCACATACATCAAAGGAACGGTTTCAAGGAAATCTGAAGAGGTTGTTTTCTCGAGGAAGGAAATTTGAGTGTTGTTTAAGACGATTAAATCCTCATTAGTCAAAGATTTAAATAGAATAATATGTACAGTGTATCAATATGATCACGTATCTCGATGCGTTAATATATTATGCGTTTCCATGGTAACGCATGAGTACGTCTCGCTTACTCATACTGAAAATTATAGTACTGTACTACACTGTACAAATATATTATACAGACATGAAATAAAGGTTTTATTTCATAATTCGTATTTAGAAAGTCCACGAATAGATGTAGCTGAGATGCCATTATCATTTTGGCAAAAAAGTAAATGTGTTTATGAAGGTTTATGGAAAGCAGTTCAGAAATTTTGTTGCTTACCAGTTACATCTTTGCCTTCTGTACGAGTATTTTCACTGGCAAGGACTATAATTTCACAAAAAAAGAAATCGCTTGAAGAGTAAACTTTTATTTTTATAAACAAAACAAATCATTGCTCGATTGATTTTTTTATTTCCGCTTATGTCATTTGATTTATCTTTTTGATTAGATTTGACTTTTTTATGTACTTAATTAGCAAAAGGGAGAGTTTGTTTGGTTTTTAAATCGTTTGAGTACTTTTTAGTGATTTATTATTTGTTTGTTTATTATTATCATTAACAAGTAAAAAAACTAAGAAAACTATGGATAACTATCGATAGTCCTCACTATCGATAATATCCGACCACTAGTGGACACCAGGTGCCAATTGGTCTTTAAAAAAAAACATATTTTTTTTCTAAAAATCAAAATTGACAATAACGTTTCTGATTAAAAATTACGTCTACCTATTCTAATTTATAGTTTTTGGCAGTAGGCACATCCTCTGGGGAATAAAAAAAATAGTGGTTGACGTGATACTCGGGAGCGGAGCAAATATACAAAAGTAAGTTCGCGAGCGAAACTGCCGGAAAATTAGTAAGTATATTTTCGTAATAGGTATTATAGTATATTCCTAAATTGTGAATTCTCGAGCAACAATGGTAAAAACAAAGCGACATCACAAACTGCCACCCATTTTTTTCTGAGAGCTATAAAAATTAAAACCCATTTTAAGTAAAAACAAATAGCATTTCAAGACTTACGGCCTGTCCGCACTGCGATATTTCACCGCACGTTTTTATTCCCGCAATTCTGTAACACATTGAATCTTATAGGAGTATCCGCACTGGCGGTTAAAAATTCGCGCGGAAAAAAATCTGTGATTTGATGCAAATTGAACGCGATGCGGCGCGGATTATTTCCGCGCGAATGTTTTGTACAGTATATAGAAGTAAGTAAGAACTTAATATGATGTCATGTTATAATTAATATCTAGGTATGTTGTAAGTAGCTTTAGGTTATGATGTATCAAATTTTGCACGACTAGCACACTCAATGTGTGATTATAAAAAGTATACATAAAAATTAGTTACCATTATAAAGTAAATAAAAAAGTATAGCAACGAGATTTTAACAATGCAAGTAATGAATTACTCACCACTTATTTTCACCGTCCAACTCTAAGCTTATTTCTGAAAACAACTTGCAGCGTGACTTAAATGCGTTCCAAGTCACATACCAAGCTTTCTTTAAAGTAGTATGTGTCATTTTGTTAGTAAAACCAATAATTTTATTAACTATATTAAGCAATATGAACAACTTATAATTATTATAGGTATCTGTTTAGTTTTAAGTGGTATTTTTTTGTCTGGATGAGTCATGATACTAAAAAGTAGGTATGTAGGTACGTAAATTTTCCAGATTATAGCGTTTCTATTAAGTTTGTACAGTTTTAATACTGAGAATTTCTGATTTCTAACGAAAATAAAGAATTAATAAAAAAAATATTTTATTAGAAATGAGAAATTATTAATGTCGAAGATGTTTAGTTTCATTTTAGCGTAAATCTAAGAAAGTATTATGTTTAGTTTCATTTCAAAATCTCAATTAGTATTAATTACCTATTAATTTTATTGCACATCTACTTTTAAGTGGGTTTGCTATCTTTAAACAAATACCTTAAAATATCAAATTTAAAAGCATATTCCACTGTATAACTATTTTGTTTTTTGTCACAGTTTGATCGATAAACGGTAGAAACTAGAGCTTCTTAGTCTGTTTGTCTTTCTTTTATGTTGAAACGGAGCGACGGATTGGGGCGATTTTTGGTGTGGAGATAGTTGGAGAGCTTAGTAATCTTACAAATAGTAGCAACAAACAAACAAATCTTATTTATTAAGAAGCAGTCTTCGACAACGACAAAACAATTTTATTAAACAGCTTAATGTACTTCCTCCGTCGCATATTTAAGACGTAGTCGTCGTCTAGAGATATATAGAGACGTAAAAATAATAGCAAATGACGTAAATGA